TGGGGAGTATTTTTGAAATATGATTGTAATATAAAGATAAGTCGATTGGTGTGAGAGGATACCCAGGCTTTTCTTGAGAGAAAAAGGAGAAAAAGGCAGAATATTCTGTAGAATTACTTAGTTGAATTGAACATGAGGGTGAGATGCTCCTATAACATGACATGACATACTTAACTTGATGTTACGTCGAAGTCTCCCCCGGATTTTACAACTATCAGTGTTCAGAAAGCTCATGTGACCTTATTGGTAATTGGAATGTGGTGAAATTTTCCAGTATTGTTGCATAATGACTATATTATAAATATGCCTATTGTTTGCTTTCATCAAATTTTAGAAATAATTAAATTCCATGAACTTTTGGATCAACCCTCGTATTAGAAAAAAGATGGATCTAAGATTGAACAGGTTATAATTCACTTGAGTCATTTAAATTACTTATTGCTATCTGTTTTTGTTCGGTCATCATGTGTCAAGTATTGTCTGTAAACTATTGAACATTTTCAGCTTCTTTTCTGGAACCAGTTTCAACTAATTTCTCGGTTGAAGTACTGTATAGGGGATTAATTTCAGGGGTTGTAATTTTCATGTTTTTCTCTCCTCTGACACGATCACGGTTTGTTGAATTTGCGGAATCGGTATATAATAAAGGTTACATGTACCTCCCTTCAATGTCTATATCAGTTTAATCCATAGCATAGCTAGAAGGCAGTAATCAGCATTATGTATTCACTTCACGAACAACAGGGTAGATTTATATATACATCAGCAAGTTCGATAGTTATTTGAATAATTTTTTAAAACCAAAATGTCGATAAAAACATGATAATGCAGGTAACAAATAAACGTCGTAACATAGTTACGTACGGGTATTCAAAACCCATGACCCTAGTGTTTTGATTGATGAAACATGTAGCGTTGGCTATTAAAACAGTTTTTTTTTTTTACAAATACAGGTTATTATCTGCTGAGTGATCTAAATTAATGTCAAGCGTGATAATTAAAATAATTGAATGACAAGTACGATTCGTAATTACTGAAATGACCATGCACTGCACGTATATTTACCTATCGTAGCCTATTCTCAAATTTCCAAATATAACATGTAGGTTATTGAGAAACTTATTCACTGTTTCTTGAATTCACGGATTTATTCACACCGTGAATATAGCGAATATTAACACCGCGAGTTATTTCCCCCCTATACAGTATACAGACATAATATAGAAATGATTTTATCGACTTTCTCAATCTATCATGAATTTGAAAATGTAAATATAAGCATTTAATTGTAAATATTAAACATTTAGCATCTCATAACCAGAGTTGGAAATTACTGACTGCCCGAGGCAGTCTGTTTTTCAGGTAGGCAGGGACAAACTTTAGATTAGCCTTGGTGGTCGGGTCATTTAAACAGGTAGTTCCTGTTTTCCTTTTTTTTCAGGGTATAGTAAGTCTATAGAAATTAAGTAAAATATAGTATATCAAAGGAACACTTCTAGTTAAAAATATGAGATGACCTATAGGACCAATATTGGTTTCAGTCTTTAGAAAAAGCTTATCGATATTTGTTCCGGTCACTGACTTTAGGTCACATGTGTGTAGTTTCTTGTTTCTCATGTATTGCTTTAGTTCTACATTAGTGGTAATCTAACAACCAAGCTTTATGATAAACGTGATGACTTTAACTTTTCAATCGTCAACTTCCCTTACTTATTCAGCAATATACCTTCATCACCTGCATACGGGGTTTATATCTCTCAGTTGATTCGATACGCAAGAGCATCCTCTATGTATGAACAATTTTTAAAATGAGGTAAGTTATTGACAAACAAATTGCTGAAACAAGAATATCAGCAGTCTTGTTTAAAGTCATCATTTTGTAAGTTCTATGGTCGATACAATGACCTTGTCAGCAAATACAATTTATCATTAAGTAAAATGCTGACTGACCTTTTTCATACTTATTGTTAGGCCATTATTTACACACTGAATTGTGTATGGATTTTTCCATTGTTTCCCAGTCGTGACAAGGAGCACACAGCGGGTGTGACTGGTCTGCAGGGGATGCTCACTCCTCCATGGCACCTGATCCCACCTCTGATGTTTTGGAGGTCCGTGTTTTTGTATTTTTTGATGGGCTTTTGAGCTTGAATACTGATTGTTATCTCGATATATTTCATTCTACTCAACTGTGTGTTCATGTGATCCTACCTCAGTATTTACAGAATGATACATCCTTTGTTTGAGGGTCATTCTTGATGTCTGACTGAGTAATGGCAACGGGACATAAAACCTTAACTGACCTTACCACATTCTTTTCTAATCTGAAAACCCTCATGCATTTTTAGCATAACATATCGCCAATGCACACATTTTTCCCGAGGAATGAACTGCATCTACACTGCATAGAACAGTATCTCTCCCACTGGCACAACAGTACTATTACACATCATTATGTTCTTGAAAGGCAAACACAGCAATTATTGCTCGGCATGATTTTTTTTCGTGCTTACAATGAGGTTTAGTTCCGGTTGATTGCGTTTAGTTAAAGAGAATTTATGATGTGCATTTCCATAGATGTCTTTTATATCAACACCAAACATGTATTTAAGGAAGAAAATATATTAAGTAAAATGCAAAAGCCTGTATTAAAAAATCAAAGGACAAGTGCACTTAAGCAATGCTTAATGGGCCCTTTTTCAGTGCCGTATTACTTTAGAATGTATTACCAAATTGTTCTCTTCTGGTAATAGTTAAACACAAGTGGACATTTCTAATTAAAATCACATTAAAACATCACCTAAATCAGCATGGATTTGAAACAAATGAAGTTTTTTAAATGCCTATAGATACTCCAAATCCGGAAAAGTCGTACCGAACCTATTTTGAGTTTCGTTTATTTAAATCAAGGGGAGGAGACATTTAAATAAGACACTTGAACAATCTGATGGTGGATCATTGACAGGTGCATTTGCCGAATGATACTTCTTGTGCTATTTTACCCGAGAAAAAAATCGAATGAAGTTGTATAGATACCTTTATCCATATTGATCAAACTAAGAAATTTGCATGCTTGCATTTGAAATAATACAATAAGTATTATCATTAGTTCCTGTAAATTTTAAAATGAAAAAAAGTGTATTTAGGTGGCTTTCAATACCAGTACCATTGTCTTGCATGAATGTTAAAAATGTTTGAAACTTTTATTTATGATGACATTTTAACGACACTAAACTCTACTAACCATCCCGTGTTCCTAAAACCAAATACATACAAACTTCTCTATACGGCTTGACTTCGATATAATGATATGAAACGTGGCTATGTTTTACAGTGAGCATCTTTGAGGAATGTTTACCTGGGTAGAACTCACGTGACTACCAGTATTTTAAATAATTTATTCCACGGGTGGGTTCAACATAGGTCATACAGGTAAATAGCTCTTGCTTGTTAAAGGAAAAACATTGAACTTTTCATACATTTTTAATATTTTAAGTACAAGCCTAATCATGTACAAATTTCCTACTTTCACACAAGTTTTGTAAATGTATAATGCATTTTTTGTCAATCGCACAAGTTTGTACAATGTTAGGCTGACAATAAACAAAAGCTTTGAAATGAATGACCGTCCTCGATTTACTATAGAAAATCACGAATGTCGGCTGACCCCCTACCACATTGTATGGCTTTGCTCTTTGTATATTCATGAATTTCAGCGATAAAATTTGTTGAATCTTATGGTTTAGATATCAATTAATGATCTGAGATGGAAAATTATGCTTAATTTAATTCTTCATTTTTTTCACATTTTACCGGGGCCCATAAGTGCACTCTTTCTTTAGTGTTTATACAGGTAAAAAGTTTGAAAAAATAAAAATGTGCCAACAAATGGTTTCGAACCAGGACACTAAAAATGTTCATGGTGAGAGTCTGCGGTCTATCGTTCTGGGCTATGCTGACTATGAGGACATTTGTAATAAATATAAACCAGTATGATAGAAATAGGTTTTCACGTTTTTTGTAGGTTTTTTTTTTGTTTTTATGAATTTCGACCCTAGGCACCTCTAAAAGAACCTTTTTTTAAATAATTGCTTACTAGATCAAAATCTATCAAAATTTCATATTTAATTTAGGGGCAGGCAAAGGGTGATTATATTGCATCTATTGGGTATAATTTTCTTATTAGAAAATTGTAGAGATATGCAAGGTTAATTAATGACAACATTTATTTTTCCGTTTTGCCTTATACTTTTATGATTTTCACTAATAAATTGATTATTGAAAAAAGCCTTTAATATGACTGCTGATTTTATCTCCATCTGTTAATTATACCCCCGCTCCGAAGGAGAGGGGGGTATACTGTTTTACCCTTGTGTGTCTGTCTGTCCGTCTGTCTGTCTGTCCGTAACAAACTTTGGTCGCAGTTTTCTCAGCAACTGCTCATCAGAGGTGCTTGAAATTTTAACACACTCTTTGTTTAGGCATGCCATATGGTGGGATTCATTTTTGTATGAATTCGATGTCAACTTCCTGTTTATCCGTGCGTCTGTCCGTACCATACATAACAAATTTTGGTCGTAGTTTTCTCAGCAACTACTCATTGCAGATGCTTGAAATTTTAGCACAATCTTTGTTTAGGCATGCCATATAATAGGATTCATTTTTGGAACAAATCTGATGTCAACTTCCTGTTTATCCGTGCGTCTGTCCGTACCATACATAATAAATTTTGGTCGTAGTTTTCTAAGCAACTACTCATCGCAGGTGCTTGAAATTTTTTCTTTGTTTAGGCATGCCATATGCTGGGATTCAGTTTTTACAAATCAGATGTCAATTTCCTGGTTATCACTGTGTTTGTCCATAACTGAACTTGTGTATTCACATCAGAGCGGGGGTATTATTAGTGAGCATTGGCTCACAGACTTCTTGTTTTCAACACCTTTTCTCATGATTATAGTAGATAGAGAACAGATTATGATTTCTAACATTTACTTTTACAGATCATTTCCTTGAGATAGGTGGAACCAACAGTCAAATACAAACACTTTTAAGAAAAGTAAAAATCTGGCTCAGGTAAAAAAAAAAAAAAAAAAAAAAAAAAAAAAAAAAAAAAAAATCATTTACAGTTTTAACAATTAGTAATTTTACCTTAGTTAACTGGAAAAATCTCATTTGACGAAATACAGGTCAAGAATGAAGAGTTTAAAGCCTAGTAGGGAGTTTGGTCAATCATTACAGGTAATCTGCAGTCCCTCTCGAGAATTTTACACTCATATGGAGATGCCACCACTTGCCAGTGGAAAGCTGCAAATTCTGTCCTATACTCTGCACTCATGGCCATTGAGCAGTGAGGGGTCTTTTTCATGCCAGCACCTACTGTGACACGGGACCTTGGTTTATAAGGTCTCATCCGAAGGACTGGTCTCCATGTCCCACAGTGGGATTCAAACCTGCGACATAAGGATCAACTCCTTACTTCGCGACTCTAGAGCAGACGCTCTAACCATGGCGCCACGCTTGTGACTAGCTCCGTTTTAAAGAAATCATTCAAGATATTTTTTATCAAACTTAATATGCTGATACATATATAATTAGTAAGACCTATTCAACTATTTCAAAAACTTTTGACCTTTCCTGTGACCTTGACCTCACTTTCCTTCAATTTGCATTTTGCATGGTTTTAAAACCATTTAAAATATTGATATCTAAGGCTATGCATCTATACATAATTTGGTGAGAATTTATCATCTATATCCATTTTTTTTAGATTTCAATTTCAATTTTAAAGAAACTTTTCAAGATATTCTCATCAAACTTCATACACTAACACAAAATTTCATGTTGCATTACTATACACTCGGCGGGCATACATGTCCTATGGACATATTTCTAGTGTATTGCTATTTCTGTTGTTTGTTTACTTCCGGTCAGTAAGTGCCCCCTAGGGGCAAGCCCCAGTCCTGTTTTCTTTTCCAGGGTTGCAACAGCGCCCCCTAGAAAAACAAGTTGCACCATCCAATCAAATCGTGTTTTGTGCTGCTTTATGCCAATGATATTAAGGCTGGACAGCATATGTATTATATTCTGACCAATGGGGTTGCAGTATTTTCAAATAATTAGGATAGACTTACCACTTCAGCATTCCTTTCATCACTGAAGTGATATACATGGTCAAAAATTGACTAACTTTCATTTTTGTGTCAACTGCAGAGCAGAACGACACTTAGAGATCACTTTACCTGGTGTCTGTCTGTCCGTCTGTCACACCTTATATCTCCAAAATTTTGAGAGGCAGGGTTTTGATAATTAGCATTTATATATGTTTTTGAGCTCATGATACTATACTTTGAAACTGTATGAAATTCAGTTACCACAAAAACTTATATTTAAATACTATGAAAATACATTGGGATCAGTATTCCACAATGAATCGTGTTGACTGACAAAGTGATGTCAATTAAAGTAAAGACAGTCTGAAATTCCTTTCCTCCGAGGATTGTTGGAAGCACCTACATGTGTATTAATAAAATGATAAATAGTTATTCCTCATAATTTAAATTAAATTATTCATTTGAGGACTGGGGAACCATATTTTCTTTGATTGCCAGATTCTATCCCAGTCTTTTACTTTTGGATCCTTTTTTTCCTTGCAGGCAAATGCATGAACCTCCATGCTAATATTAAATTAATAGCTGACCACTCTTAGATTTATTTACCTCTTTAATGATAATACCTAGCAGGTGTTATATACGTTCCTTGAAACACTCTAGTTCCTATTTGATTTTCACTAATATAAAGATTATTGAAAAAAGACTAAGGTGCTCTATAGTGATCAGTCTATTCATTCATCTGTCTGTCAAATACACATATCCCTTGTTCAGAGTACAGGTGACTCTAAATACTTCAAACTTTATATTTTTTAATTAGATACATGTAGCTGCTTTGGAACATCTGAAAGGTCTATTACATTATCACTAGTTTTACTAGTTTTCTTCATGTAAGTTGAATATATTTTAAACTTTTAAATTTTTATTTTTTCCAGGTAAGAAAGAAATTCAGGAGTTCTTAAATTGCCCTTGGAGTTCTTGGATTGCATCAAACTGCTAAAAGACCTCAACAAAAACAGCGTCTTGAAAATAAAAATGAAAATATTCAGTGAAAAAAAAATGATGAAAGAGCCACTAAAAATCTTCAAGCCTTTGAGCTGAAATCTGGAAGTCAATCTGTGGACTTTACTAGTATGTCTTACTAAGTCATCATTTGTGTATAATAAATACACTCAACTGTAAACACTTGTTAAAATGTGTATAATTTTTAGATATAATTTGTAGCTCACAGACTTCAATAGTTTCATGTAATTTAAGTAATAATGAAAATTTCCTGTTGTCTAGCTAGATTAGAAACTATTATTGTCCAATTTTGGATATTGTGAAATAATTCATCTAGTATGCATAATGTGTGTACACTTACGTGTAAATTAATTGTTATAGCAAATTCAATCGATCATTAAGTTGAATGTTGACTAATGTTTTTCATCAAAATTGTTTACACTGAATTGTTTGTGGATTTTTCCATTTGCCCAATCATGTCAAGGAGCACATGGCAGGAAATGCTTTCTCCTCCATTGCACCTGGTGTTTTTAGAGGTCTGTGTTTGCTCTGCTCTTAATATGTATTGTTTCAATGGACTTTAAAGCTTGATCACTGTTGGTAATCTTCATATTTCATATACTATTAGAGTACTTGAAGAAAACTGTAAAGATTTAACATACAGTATAATGCATGTATATTGCACTTTAAGTACAGTGTATGTGGTTAAGAAATGTTAAATCGTCTCATAGTGCATTGAATTTGTTGAAAATTAGAAAATGTGTTGAAATTTTTTTTGAAATAATGTTAGATTGCAGATTTTTTGAAATCATGCAAGTAAGAAATTGCTAAATATTTTTTTAGCTTTTCTGGACAGTCTAGATGAGTTCTTACTATATACCTAGCATTGTATCCCAGTTAAAATTTAAGGAGCAAGGTTCATTCCTAAGCTCTACCTGGACAAACTTGCATAGATTAAAGCACATTAACAGATTTACTTCAGATGCTTGACCTGATCTACATTTTCCTCATGTGTTTTTTTTGTTTTTGTTTGTTTGTTGTTTAACATCCCTCTCAAGAATTTTTCATCCATATGGAGATGCCACTACTTGCTGGTGGAGAGCTGCAAAATTGACCTATACTTTGCACTCAGGGCCTTGAGCAGTAAGGGATCTTTTTTGTGCCCACATCAACTGCTAGGCGGGACCTTGGTTTATATGGTCTAATCTGAAGGACTGGTCCCAACATCCCAAGTGGATTAGAACCTGAGACTTGAAGATTAAATCCTTACTCGCGTCTCTAGATTACAAACTCTATCCTTTGCGCCACATGGGGGACTCCACAAGATTAAGTGTTTTGAGCAGTCCTATTCTCATGTAATTATAAACTCTATGTTGAACAAACCTGCAAAGATGATGTATGTACATGTAAATGTTTCAGGGTACCAATCCTTGATTTGACTTAGATATTCTGGATTAATGACCAGTTTTTTTTTAGAGAAGGTTCATTCAAAGTAACAATATACTCTTTGGTGATCAGTAAACATAGATGATGTATCCTGCTTCTGATGCTGGATGTAACATACATTTTCAGGGTTATTGAGCAGTTTAATCTAACCCAGACCAACTTGCATAGATTTTGGATCCAGGTGATATACATTACCAGAGTGTTTGTTGAGTGAGACTTTGCCTTACTAGTAGATAACATTTACAGAAGTGAGCTTTGTATTCTTTGATTAGGTATGTTTTTTCTTTGCTCAGGATATATATACCATCAGTGCCAACTACCATACATTTTATGTAATAGATGTAGCTGTTGTTCAACTGAATATGATAAAACTGTGGATGAAATAATTTGATTTTTGTACCTTTGAATGTATTGAATTAATTTGTAAAAGCTGTTATGATACAATGTTTGATATTTTATAAAAGTTTTTAGCATATGCAATCAATAAATGTATCAACATTTTTATTTTATTATACTTTTTACCCTGCAAACTTCTTAAAAACAGAATAGTAATGATCCATTTAACTGATACTAGGTTAGTGTCACATTGTACTGGTATATCATGTATACTGAACTGTAAATAAGAAACATCAAAATAGGTAAAATCACAGCATGAATCATTGGATTATGTAAGAAGTGCACTATCTTGTGCTTTGGTATGGTATTAATAATAAATGTTAAACTATCATTTTTTTTTTCAAATTAACAAAGGATATGCTTGAGTGACTGTATTTTGACTAGCAGTAAAAATAAAATGATTTTTAAGCATTTGAATTATTTTGATTCATGGTCTCTGCAAGTTTAATGATAGCAAATATGTATATTGAACATGGCATCCACATATTGCTATACTGGATGGGGCATAACTTTTACTGAATCTTAATCACAACCTTGAAATTTTATGTAGTACATGTACTCTTGGTTTCAACTGGTCAAATGTATTCTTAAATCACAAAGAATTTAAACAAATATAGGCATAGGTCAGAACTTCATCAATTAGTTGGAAAGCGAATGCACTCGGTGACTATATGGTTTAAAAGAAGCTGGGTATAAATAGCAGGAAAAACTACTTGATGTCCACTGTACATGTGAACTTTGTGTCCTCAACAAAACAATATGGAGTATACTATACTTGGTCTAAAGAATAATCTATGTCTGCATTCACTTTAAGGTTAAACTGTTTTGGACATTGAGAGTTTGTTTGTTGTTTAACATCCCTCTGGAGAATTTTTCACTCATATGGAGATGCCAACACTTGCCGATGGAGAGCTGCAAATGACCTATGCTCGGCACTCAGGGCCAATGGACAGTGAGGGATCTTTTTCATGCCAGCATCTACTGCGACACTGGACCTCTGTTTGAACAAAGGACCGGTCTCTACGTCCCACAGTGGGATTCAAACATGTGACAAAAGGATCAACTAACTCCACGACTCTAGAGCAGAGGCTCTTTCCACTGCACCACGTGGGCGACAGCATTGAGAGTTAAATGTGGATATCAGAACAAGCTACTCTGGGCTTATACTCTCTATATATTGATTGATTGTATGTTGTTTAACATTCCTCTCGAGATTTTTTCACTCATATGGAGACACCACCACATGCCGGTGGAGATCTGCAAATTTTGTCCTATACTCGGCACTTACGGCCATTGAGCATCGAGGGATTTTTTTCGTGCCAGCACCTACTGCGACACAGGACCTCAATTTATACGGTCTCATCTGAAGGACCGGTCTCCCCATCACACAGTGGGATTTGAACCTGCGACGTAAGGATCAACTCCTTACTTCGCTACTCTAGAGCAGACGCTCTAACCACTGTGCCATGGGGGCAACTACTCTACTCTCTATTTAAGTCACTTGTGCAATGACTTTAATTCAAAGTTTTGTACTGATCATGTTGAGTCACATTAGCACAAATATCTTTCTGCTGACCTTGACTAATGACCATCCGCAACTATTCTGGTTGGAAACAATATGTTAATTAATGCATAATAAGTGAAATTACTATGAAAGAAAAATGGTCTACTTAAACCACAAGTTATATTTATAAAAAATATACACTGGTCTCCTTAAGTCATATGAGAGAAACATAAAATATTAAGGAGACCATTTTTTTCATATATTTTTAGGAGGCATTTATTATGAAAAAATAAAGCAAGAGTCGACTAAATGGTGTTCTATAGATCTTTGATCTGGTATTTCTTTTTAGAAAAAAGCTAATTTAAAAAATCTGTATATTGTCTCCTTAAGCCATATATAATGGTCTGGTCTCCCTAGTCCTTAAATCAGAGTTATATATATATATATATATATATATATATATATATATATATATATATATATATATACTTATCTATTTTGCTTTTTTCTGTTGAATGCAGTTTCAAATCAAGCTAGGGTAACGCTAGAAATTTTAAGAAAAAAATAAATATTTAAGATTCACAGTTTGATTTTTAAGTTTCTAGACTGTGTAATTAAAGAAAAGCACAATAGTGAAAAATCTCATTTATAAACAGACAAGTACATTACTTTTTTTTTTAAATGTTATGCTCTATCTCAGCGAGGAATGTGTTGCGCCCATCGATTAATTAACACACTGGTCATTTAGACGAAATTAACAGCTTGTATTATATAATTATATAGTTGGTGTGGAAATAAAATGAATGTGCAGACTTTTCCAGTGCTGACGCCAGCTTCAAGCTAGGAGCATTAAAACCACCTGTAAGAATAATTTCTGTGAGACCATATCCTATCGCTATCATTAGGTCTTTTTCACCAACAGGAGAGTTCACTGGTTGCCGATGTGCGGACAAA